TTACACCCTATACACATAAAAACAGTCTCAAAATACAAAATTTTAAAAATAATTTATCTTCAATATTCATAATTTGACAAGATAAACCTTCACATTAAAATCTCATACAAAAGTACCAAATTATACATATCTTCTAATTTCACTTTTAAAAGTTAACCAAAAAACTTCTCGAATCTTCCGAAGAACCGAATCGCTTCCCTCCTCTGTCCATGATGAAGAGCACTCCTAAGTGAATCTGACAACATTTGCATTGAATAACTCTAAGCATCTCCCTCATTGAGGATGAAAAGAAAAGAGGGAAAAGAAATCATGCAAACAAATAAAACTTAGCATTTCCAGCAATTGACATTACAATATCAACTCACTGTACATGAGATTGGCAAATGATAAGAAAGTAGCAAGATACTGAATCAGTCTACGATTCAATTCGAACAGTTAGCTCAATCTGATGGTCGTCTTCTTATTATTACTTGTAGAAAAGCAGAAATATAAATCAGAACAACTAAAAGATAAGCTATCCAACATCCCCGTGAACTAAGACTACAATATCACCTAACTGTACATTAAATTTCCGAATAATGACACTCGACGGGAAACCCAATCTTCTAGATAGCCAGTTCAAGTGACTACCTCAATCCACAAAGCTTCTTCACATCTGATATTTTCTACTTCTTTTGCTTGATGATAAGCTCAAAGCACCCATACCTCTTGTAACTAACCCAACTTCTGGTCTCTCTTGTATAAGAAAGTACACTACAATCCAATGGACTACAAAAAAAAAAAGAACATAGTCCACTGGGATCAACACCATCCAATGAAATGATGGACGCTTGATTTGAGAGACTATAGGACCCACCACTGGGGCTACTATCTCATTCTAATGGGTCCCACTCTCTCTCCATCACCGTCCATCACTTCATTTGACCCTGGTGATCCTAATGGATTAAGGTTTCCATACGCCATAGGATTGTTCCATACCCCCCTTTGTACTAAGACCCAGAAGTCCCAGAGGACTCTCCCCTACCGTTTGCGGTACTAATGAGAGCTTCCTTTCCATGCTCCTCTCCACTAATAGATCTCCCCAACCTCCTCAACCAAATTTCATAGTCCACAGGATACGGCGTACCACAAAGACTATCCACATAATCCGCAAAGGCCTTGAGCACCGGTGACACTTCTCCAAGTTTTTGCTGAATCAACCTCTTGGACCAAGCTTTCTCTCTCCACTTTAAGGCCTCCTCAACCGAACCCAATTTGGGAAAAACACCGCCACAACAAAAATATATCAGATAAATCAGGCTCTCGGCATCAGAAGCCGGACAAAGCTTCCCCTCCTGAAGGGCAAAGGTGGAACCAAATAAGAGATTCAATGAAGGGCCAGGACTTTCTCTCTCTTCCAAAACTGCTCGCCCCCACCCCAAGAGCACATAATATGGGTTCTTTGTGCTAACACGAATCACATTTTCCGGGCATATATCTCCATGTCTTATGCCCACAAATGTAGTAGCATGGAGAACAGATAAGCAATTATGGCAACATTTTAGCGCATCATCCTGTCCGAACTGCCCAAAACTTAAAAGGGCAGGCAGGGGTTGGCCTATAGGGGAGGTCACAAGCACTGGGGTTCCACACAAAGGGTGCTCACATCGGCTGCCCGAGCACCGACCAGGGTGCATAATCTTGCCAGAACCCACAAGTTCAGGCAAATACTTACTCGAAAGCCCCTTTTGTTTCATAATTGAGAGGATCTTAGTTTGCCTTTGCACTCTATACCAAGAGGTCATGTCCTCCCAAGAAGGCTCCAACTGTGAAGGGTGAGAACCCACATACAATAACACTGATTTTCGTGGCTCCTCGAGAGAGGTGGAAACATAAACTGGGTGATCACCAGTCACTAGAATTTCAGTAATTTGGAAACCCTTTTGCCAATTGGATTCCTCAAGCCAAAGGATGGAACCGACTTCTAGGTTTGTTGTTCCCTCTGGTTCTCTGGAGCCATCTTCATCGACTTCGACTATTTCAGGGGAGTAGCTCCTTAGGTGAGGCCTGAAAGACCCATTTCCATTAACCTTAGAGCTTCCGAATTCCCTTTCGGACCTCCGTTTTTGTAGCCTAAAACTGTGCTCGGCTGCCAAATCTTCAATGGACTTTTTGGGTTTTCCTATACATTGAAACATGCAGTGAAAAGTGGCCAGTAGGACTTGGAGAGCCCCAATGTCCCCCCAATTGGCATTTCCAAGCTTGTTCCATATTCGATCAACTGGGGAAACTTTAACGTCTGAGTGCTTTTTAAGCCAGTCAGCAGCACAGTCGTAGACCCTATTCACATCAACCTCCAAATTACTCAAGTCGCCTTCAACTCTAACCACTCCACCATGCTGAGAATCAACTAGGAGCACATATACACAGCTAGATTTGTTTGAGAAGTTGGATTTTCCAAGACTTCTCGACAAAAGTACTCGAATCGCAAAGAAGATAGCTTCACCGATGACAGGTAGAGAGGGCCGTCGAGTGCTCTCCATAGAGAGGTTCCCCACATCTGGTCTCAATAAAACCAATTCAAGAATTTGATCCCATCTCGAATGAGATACTCGACCACTCTTTAGCAACAGGGCAGTGGCACAAAGCCCATTTAACTTCCATCTAGAGATTGCTTTCTCTGCAGGATAGAATTTTGAACTTGATGAGTGAAGGCAAGCAACAGTTAATGGCATTGGTTTGTCAAGACCCCAAAAAGTTTCCCATAAGCCCTTTGCTCCTGCATGGAGGAAGTCTTCAATGGCAAGATATGCAGTGGCCTCTGCTGCATCTGAGGCTGAAGCATAGATGGCACTAGGCATGCGTATAAGTTGCTGAAATGGGACCCCCTCCAAGGCATAATCGAACTTTTGGAGCTCAGTTAAATTGAAAGGGACTTCAAAGGCGGGTTTTTTACTAGTGGCATTTTCTGATAGTGAGTGGAACCAGTCTTGAAGCTTTGATGTTAGAATTTCACTGTCCACAAATTTCCTCGAAAAGTCTTTGAGACCAGAGGCCAGAGAGGGTTGGGACTTGCCTCCTGGCGAAGAACTAGATTTGTTAGCTCCAGATCCAAAAGATAATCTGTCGGGGGAATCACCTAAAAGAAAACCAAGAAAAACTTATGACTAAGAATATATACAAGAATGTCTAAAATTTCCTCAATTTCTGCACTTAAGACAACTCTGCCAAAGGGAAATGGAATACATATATATATATATGGTTCTGCAATTAAGGATTGTCTCAGCAAACAGTGTTTTAAGTAAATGAGTTTCTTTAAACTGATGAAGCATTTCATTTTAGGAGTAAAAGCTTGTAAGACAAAGACATGCACAACAATGACGGGATGCAATATGCAATACAGCCATTTACTAGTACATTTTATCAACCCACGCAGAGTATCATCCGATGAGCACTTTATGGACGTGATAAAATCTCATGCTAAAAGTATCTAAATCAAAAAAATCTCATGCTAAAAGTATCTAAATCAAAACAACAGAAAATGTTAATCAACGGAGGAACTTTTACTTTCTTTTGGTCATTTTTGCGCCTAGAAATACCAAATATCTTCTAGTTCTTCTAGAATGTGATTAGATACATCTCAAAGACATTAATGACTAAGGTGAAGTTAACACAAGCATCTTCCAATACATTCTTATAAATCATATCCTTTCTTGCAATGTTCCACGAACCAAATTAAAATCCCATAGATTCCTAATACAGATTGACAGAAATCCACATTAGAATTGTCTAAAATCAGTCAAAAAAGAATTAACAAGAATGAAAAGGTTTACTTGCTCAGAGATTCACGAATTATATTCACGCCATAGCTTTAGGTCATTTCAACTGATCAGATTTTATCCTCTCATAGTAGTTGTTTACATTCGTTAATATCATTTTCAATATAAATGGGCCTTAACTTTTGTTAACCATCAGTAATACATACACAGCTGCTAAATAAAAAGAAAAAGTTGAAATTGACTTCTTCTTCTTCTTCTTCTTCTTCTTTTCTTTTCCTTCTTTTTTTTTTTTTGCCTCTTTTTCAGTTATGTAGGACAGACTTCTTTTATGTAAAATTAGTGGCTTGCTGCTAAGATTAGTGGTTTCCACATAAGAAGCAATGGTGCAGCCAATGACAACATGAAGAAGAATATGAAGACGAAGCAGGAAAAGAAAGTACAAATTTCCATATTAGCTCAGCTTGGCCCTACTCTTCCTAAAAGATGAAGATAATTCCCCAAATTGCATCAAACATCACAAGTTCAATTCAATGACGCTCTTTGGAGGTTACCTTAATTCAATCACTTCTTCGCATGACCTCACAAAGTAGTAGGAGCAAAGCTTCAAACTTGAACCACATTATTTAAGGATATTGTATTTTTTAGTAGTTATTTAAGCATATTTATTGATGTCAAATTAACAATCATCACCAAAGTTTTCAATTTAAAGATATTTTGTTATAAAAAATAAAACAGATTTATTATAAGAAAATATAACCATACATTATTCTTTTTTTGGGTAATTAAACAATATTCTGTTAATATAAACTAATGCCTGTCCTCTATGAAGCATAAACTTGGAACCCTTTACAGGACATTTAGAACAATTACTCTTCTATTAAATAAAAAACATAATTACAACCATCTAGCAAAATATATACAACATAGTTACACCCTGTTTACTTTGCTAGACGAAGTAGGACAGACCGTTAGGACTTCCAAGATGTGCCCATCCAAGTATTTTTCTTTCAAAAGGCAATTAGTCCAATTTTTATCACCCAATCATAAGCAAAAAAATCTCTTTGCAAAATAATCAAGTAACACATTAGAAACAGCTTCTCATAAACTTGAGATTAGAAGGAATTATGGGACTGTCCCGCTATTTTCTAGTCAATGATATCCCATAAAGATAAATTTGAAACTTACATAATAAAATGTGCATAAATGTAAAGATTTATTTCAAATGAATTAGTGAGAAACCACATACAACATTAAAGTATTTATCACATGCTAAGTCCCACAAGCTCATGCTACTTCCTATGTTACATGGACACGTGTTTCTAGGGTTTTTTTTTGTCAACACACTAAGGATGTGACGCCCATATTAGAAATCCATAAACTTCTTAACAGTTCTTCTTGAATCCCATTATTAAACTACTTAATATCACAGAAAAACCTCCCTCATTCTTTCTTTAAATGGTGTAAGGGCATATCGGGTTTGAAAGGCCAATCTTGACATTAACATTTCCGACGCTCGTATCCATGTCAGACATTGACACACATATTTGCATTTATGTAACACAGCCACTCTTATGCAGTTCCGTGTCTCTAATGATTTTTTTCTAAGCTCAAAGCTCCCTTTTCCTTTTTCTTACTAATTCTTCTACAGCTTCAATGAAGCAAGCCCGATTCACAGTTTTGAATCCACAAGAAACACAGGAACCAAAAAAAAACCAGCTTTCAAGTTTAGACTCCCTGATCCATCCAATATTCCTTCAAAGTTGAGTAATTGGAGTCCACTAAATTCTAAAATCATTCAAACTCTAAGTTTTGGCTCCATGAGAGCAGCAGAACCACAAAAAAACACCCTTTCTCTCTCATTTTCAAGCAACAGAAACCCTACGTATCTGAGTACCACTCAACATCATACCCAAACCCTAATTTCACTCCTAGACATCATTCTTTTATAAATCTTCCAGACATCATATGTGAAAAAAATTTCTTAAACAATAATTCAACAGAAAGAAACAGAAAATGTAAAAAAATTCACATAATTATTATACCAAGAAGAATCAAAACTCTGCAAGTTTTTTCAGCTCAAAATACACACTGCAAATTGCACTTAAAAAGCACGAAACAAACGAAAAGATAAAGATAAAATATAAAAATAAAAAGCAAAAATAAAAAATAAAATTAAAAGCTCTGCATCTAACCTTCCATTTAGATCAATCTTCGCCTAAAAAGACATTTAGCGGAGAGAATTCGATGCTTTCTTCCGAAAGATTGAGGGCATCGACCGAAATATTGAGCGTTTGCGCCGAAACTTTGAGGAATTCGGCCGAAACTCAGAAGGAAAAAGCGGCAGCAACTCCCAGGCGAAAATGAAACCCAAACATTCTCCCATGTCCCCTATTTATAGAAACTACAAATGACTTAATATACCCCTGAGAATCTTTAAAATGAATGGAAACGTATCCCTAGCTTTTTATAGAGTGCGTCACGTCAAGTGAGTTGACTAGGTGGGAATTTGCTCCTTTACTCTGGTTTTGGGGTTCGTTTGCATGGACGGCTAGGATTGAATCTTGGGGCAGGCCGGATCATCCGGATAGTTCGAGGAAAATCTGTATTTGTATTAAAGAAAAATTGAAATTCCATAAATTAGCCAAATATCTTTTTCTTTTAATTTTTTGGCTTTTTATTTTTATTTTTGGTTTATTACTTTTTTATAAGAAGAGAGGTTCATTATGGAATATGATAGTGACCAAAATTTTCTTTTTTTTAATGGAAAAATTTTATGTAGGGTGCGGTTTTTATAACCGTAAATAATCCAATTAAAGCGTGCCTCCAAAATTTATCATAACGAGCAATTTTGGTGCAAAAAAATTTTAGGATTATCTAAAAATCTATTTTTATATTTATTTATAAAATCTTAAATTTCAAAAATAATTAAAATCAAGTAGATGTATAAATATATGAAAATCTTGAAAATAGATGGTCTAGATAATGTGTTGCAAGATGTACTATTTTTTGGGACTCAAAATCTTTTTTTTTTTTTTTCATACTCATATATATCGATGTCAAGATGATCAATTAGAAGGTTTTTCAACATTAAAACAACCTTTTTCGATGGATTTTTTAGGTGCATCTATAATTCTACATTTTAAGGTTGCAACCTCATATAAACTTTTTCCTTTTATATAAGGTGACAATCTTTTTTTTGTTCAATATAGAAAAATTATGGATGCAGAAAAGAAAAAACAAAGGATTTTAAGTTATGAGATTAATGCATCTTATACTATAATATCTAAAGCGTCTATTTTCAAGATTTTTAAGTGTTTATAGATTTGTTTGATTTATATCATTTGAAGTTTTAAATTTTATAATTAAAAATAATAATATATTTTCACCAGAGGGATTTCTGGCACATGTACTGCATTTTTCAATATGGTTTGGAAGTGCATGTTGTCACCTTATGCCTACGACACCCTTTTTAATTGCCCAAAAATATTTATAGATGTCGGTTGAAAAAATATTCTATTTATAGGATTTTCATCGGACTCTATGTTTTTCGCGAATATAAGCGACCTTTTCACTTCTTCTTTTTTTATCTTCTCAAAATTTTAACTTGTTTAAATTGACGACTAAATCCATACTTGTACATCTAAATACATATCTTGAGTTTTTTAAGTTTACACAAATTTATGAGTTATTTGTGAAATATAAATCCATGAACTATTATTCAAAGGAAAAAGTTTATATAGAGCCGAGGTGCTAAACAATCAAATTAGAGCATACCTCAAAAATTTCACTAGAAGAGGTTGTTTTGATGCTCAAATATCTTCAAATTGAACATCTCGATATCAAGATGCATGGAAATGAGAAAAATAATAGATTTCAAGTTTTGAAAATAATGCATCTTTTTTTTTTTTTTGAGAAATGAAAATAATGCATCTTGTAATGCATTTTTGGACTGTCCTATTTTTTAGGCTTTAAATTTTATAATTAAGGATAAAAATATATTTTAAGGCTATCACAAATATTTCCAGTAGTAAAACAACATTTCTCGATACTATTTGAAGGTACGTTTTATTTTGATTGTTTAGAGCCTCGACTCTATACAAACCACACCTTTATTTAAAAAGATTGTACATAATGATAATATTTACCTTTGATACAAAGAGGTCAAAATTACTTTAAAAGTATGATGTGAAGTCTTTCTTATAGCTTGGGTATGTCATAAAGTTTGAAAAATTTTATTTTAAAATTTAAGCTTGGTAATTGAAATAAGTGCAGTCTCTAATTTCACTTTCAATAGTCAAAATTCATCGTCACCAAGTTATACTAAAAATAAATGTTCTCATTGTTTTTTTATTTAAACTTTCGCGCTACTTGCAATTCTTGTTTTTTAGTGAAATTTATTTCAAGTGTAAGGACATGTTGGTCATTTCATTTGAAAACTCTAATAGTAACATTAATTATGAATGATTGTCTAAATTAAATATCACAATAATCAGGCAATAAATTTCAAGTAACTCATTAAATATTGGGAAAGTATAGAATGAGACTATTTACTTTTGATATAAGGTCGTCACAATAATCATGACCATTGAATGTGAAATTAGGTGGCTACACTTATTTCATTGATCAAGCTCAAATTTCAAAAAAAATTTCTCGAACTTTATGACACATCCAAAGTATCAAACTTCATGTGACCACCTTGTATCAAAGGTACATAGTCTCATTGTATATAACCCTTTAAATATTTCTATTAATATATTATTATGAAAAGTTCCCCTTTGCATTGAATAGTTTTATGAGTCAAGAGAGGTCGTGGTGGTAGCACCGCTTGAGTATCAACTAGCCGTCTAGGTTTCTATTTACAAATTACTAACTATTTCTAAAATCTGGGCCTATATTCCTCACAGATCAACAAAAAAAAATTCCCCACTGATCAAAAAAAAAAGAAGAATAGAGTTTTATAAGTTCACCCTAACTATTTTTAAGATCCTTGAATTTGGTGTACCAAGATTAGTGTAGCTGAAGAGCTAAAGCTAACAACCCAAAAAAATGATACAAGTTGAAATATTCTTAAACCTCAACATTATTCCTGTTTTTTTTTATTTTTGACCGATAGCAAAGTACCATTATTCTAGTTTTTATCAAATTTATAATTGCGGTTGTTGAGATGATAGACTTGTGAAGTTTGTAATCAAAATCCAAATCCAAATCCAAATCGCATTTATAGAAATAATGTGAGGGGCCATGGGTGCTCTCTAGTGAGAGACAAGTGCAACCAACACGCAGTCTAGAGAGAGAGAGAATGTCAAGATTGTTGAAATATTTTAGAGAGAGAGAGAGAGAGAGAGAGAGAGAGAGAGAGAGAGAGGATAAGGAGTCATGGTCATGACATAGCCCATCTTTTACTTATGAATTATAGTGGACTGAATACACTAGTATTTATGGTTCATGTAAGCCAACATTAGAAGTAAAGACAGTTCTCTCGTGCATTAGGACCAACATTTCCATCCATTGACTAGCACACATTTATGTCTCTCTCTCTCTCTCTAAAGAACAAAAGTAGGCTAAAAAGAAAAAGAAGAGTAAAAAAGTTGTTAGATTCCCACTACCTACTAAAAAGAAGTGACTTTATTCTCTGGTTGGATTGCACATCAATGGTATGAACTTCATTGGATTCCATCACATCCATCTCTCTGTTTCTCTTTCTCTCTTGGGTGTCATTTTTGGATTCGTGTGCAAGCTCTTTTATGATTGCCGAAAGGATCGGTAGACTCTGATTTAATGTGTCGTGCCAAGGTAGTAATCTCTTTACCATGTCACTCTTTCATTGGGATGTCTTTCTCATTTAATGGTGGAAGAGATTAGGATGGATGAAAATGAATAGTATTTTCACCCATAGGCTTTATATCGTTTGATTTTTTTTCGTATGGCATGGATTAAAGACCGCCATGTGTCGGTCCGTCACGGATATAGCATATTCGTGATGGGATTTTTTTTACGTAAATTTGATGTAAAATATATACGAGGACTGCCACGACCTCCGTAAATCCATGACGGTTTTTCGGCAAGACCGTCACGGACATAATATGTCCATGATGGGAGCAAAACACAATAGCAACATTTATTTTTAATACAAAGATATCACAATCACTCTTATCCATCATATTTCAAATCAGATATTTGTGAGTGTGTCATTGACTAGACTCAAAGTTCAGTAAAAAAAGTTCTCAAACTTAGTGTGATGCCCAATCCATTCAATTTGACATTTAACGGCTTGTAGAAATCGCGATATCGAAAGATTAATGATCTCACAATATACAAACCCATAATTCATCATTGTATATATGTTGTGTGTATCATATCCTTGAAAAATAAGGATGTATGGGCGAGATAGGACTCCGTAAAATCGGGTCATGAAAGCTTCCAAAAATAAATGCAGGATGGCCCATCTATTTTCAGGTAGGGAGTACGATCTCGAAACAATATTTGCCCCTAAATCAATGCATAAAACTCATGTAGGCAAATTTATCCTTAGGATACAACAATGTCGAAGTATTATGTCACACATTCAATGCCCACTTAAATGCACCATAGTTGCTTGATTTTAGAGAGAGTGCATAGATGGAGAAAAAAGAAAGTGTAAAAGGGTTATTGTAGATGAGAAAATTAGACCCTTATTTATAGAGTGAGAAGTGGCTCTTCAAGTTATAAAGTGGTCAATAATTTTGTGATGGCTAATAACTCTATATAAGAGTCATGATTGTCCAAACACCCAACTGTTAATAACCATCACACATGGTCAACCAACTTTGTATCCAACGGCTAAAATTACCCGTTGACACACGTGTGTGCCACCCTATGTGACTCTAAAAATTGCAGGCCTTAAATTTCCCATCACATCCTTAGCATGCTTTGAAAGATTCTATAGAAAATAATTCCATGTAGATATATCACTTTCTATATTCTCCAATATGGAACTAAAAACCTACTTCTCTCTATACAAAATATACTTTAGAAATGCTGGTTTGAAAGCATTACTTTGAAATAGAACCTATAGTGTTTTTCAAAACAAAAGTGCAAACATATTAAACCATGGACTGATGTTGTTTAAAAGAAGAAAAAAAGTATCTTTTTGCTTGATAGAGAGGATAAAGCAGATGAACCTAAAATTCAAAAATAAATAGGACAGCTTACCCTGAAAGAGAGAGCTCAAGACAAACCATAGAGGGTTAATGAAATTGAGCTCTTAATTGATCAAAAATAAAAGAACTACTGTTCTTATCTAATTTTAATAGATATTTATTTCTAGCCATCCAAATATTTCCTTATTTTCAGATGCATTTTTTCCTACCCAATCCAAATACCCGAGACTTCAAACTCAAAATATAATATAGTGGCCCTTATCTCTTTCCGCCTGAAAAATTATCATCATCATCAAAACCTTTTCCCAATTATCAATAGCATTACTTTTTGGATCTTCAAATTTCATGATCAAGAGCAAAAATAGATTTTCAAGCACTCAAGTTTCCGGTTTTATGGCTGCATTTTCTAACAAAATTTTAAGGTGCAACTTTACTTCTTAACATACAGCTAGGCCATAAGGCTAACCCCACCCATATATTAATCAGACACAAGTTCCATATTCATTTAATATAAGAATATTGATTTAACACAATAAATAAGAATTACCAAATCCACATCATATTCAGTGATTATAACAAACAACGGCTAATCAAAAGACACCTATTCTTCCTTCCCCACCTTTTTTTTTCTGCCCCTTTGAATGTTATTCTTCCTCCCCACTCTATCCATCCCCCCTGTGTGATAAGCCATTTGCAATGTTAAAAAAAAATGCATACTTGCACATGACAATCAATGGTAGTATTTCAAATAATACTACTCTTCTGATCAATTGTAATGTTGTGGGATATATACTAAAAAAAAAATTGAAAAAAAAAAAACCTCGCCCGCAAATAAGCTTACAATTCTATTTTCTCTCACTAGCTATACACAATCAAATACACCCACAACTTCCCCTACCAGCAACAGGTTCTGTTTTTTGACATGCTCTAATTATAATCCAAAAAATGAAGCTCAGGACGGATAAAAATTGGTCCTCTGATAAAAATTGGAACTTTTTGAGTCTCAACCTATTCTATTGGTGACTGTTTGGTACAATGATCTAAGCTGAGTATTCCATTTCTCTATGGCTGTATATTTCTTCATCCCCTTTGACCTGCAAGAAACAAAAAACAAAAAAGACCAGAATATAGTTGGTACACAAAATCTTGAACCAGAGAGGGAGAGAGATTGCAAGCAACTATATTTATTTTATGAGAAATTGGCCAGGAGAATTAAAGAGGGAATTTGAACTGACCTGTCACCCCGTTCTAAAAGTCGGTTAACTTGGTCAATATGGCCATTAATGCGGTTGTCCAAAATGAGGGAAACCAGGAGCTGCTCAACATCTTTTTCCGGCACATTAAGCTCCTGCACATGAATTTCAATGATTGCAGTGTTTTCGACTTGGAATAACTAGGAAGGATTTACAAGTTTGTCTTCCATCTACCATACACCACTTGTGTACAGTATACTTTCTGCAAATCTATTTCTCTACCTAAAGAGTTCTTTGAAGTTCATTTAACACTTCAAGGGCCATCGTATATCAAGTGTGGCACTCTATCAGGCATTAAGAGAAGTGCGACATTGATATGTTATTCCATCATTTTTCCGTGCAAGTTTTCATTATTTAGAGTGTGCACATGCGTATGTGCACATCAGCATTTTAAAAATCGCTGACCCGGCTCAGAGCCACTTGAGCTGGTGGGGAGTGGTCTGAGTCCTCCGCAAAATCAGGATTCAGACAGGTTCACCGTAAAAACCATGCCTTTGATGAGATTTAAATGTAAAAACTTTATTGCAGTGAACTTATACTTAAATTGACACTAAAATGGATTTCGAGCCCTAACATGCAAAAATTTAGTTTTTCTTTAAAAATAATTCACCAAGTTGGTAAAGCTGGCTCATCCAGTTTACTGAGCAGGCACAGAATTGGTAGGTCAATTGCCCAAGCTGGTTATTAAAACACTGCCGCACATACACATTACATATCTATACAGACATATATAGGATTTCAGGTTATTCATTTAAATATTAGGGAGTGTGTTCTCCCAAGCCGAGTATGTAATCACAGAAATAGAAGACAAATAGCCACAAATTATCTTCGTGTTAATAGATGCATGAATAACTCTGGAAACTATGAGACAGTACCTTTGATATGAATGGAATTCGAATTCTCGTGTATGGCTTGATGAGCTTAAGTAGAACCTGGGTTCTGATATTTTTCAAGAGATCTTCAATATAATTCCGGACAAATGGATCATCCATAATCGTTCGTCTATTGCTCTGAAGAAGGCAATCAATGCAGAAGAAGACGTGAGCAGAAGGGAATCCAAATGAATGAAAGCCTCTCTCTCTCTCTCTCTCTCTCTCTCTCTCTCTCTTGTACAATAAGAGAGTAAAAGATAGCAAATTACTCTATATTAGAGAGAGAGAGAGAAGCAAATTGTTTTACTGTGCTAATATTGGGAAAAGGCATAGAACCTTCAATATTTTCTCGAACTCTAAAATCTCATTACGCTGGTATGCTGCCACGAGATTTGTCATTGCCAATATTTCTGGATCATTTTTGTATCTAAATGAATAACAACTCATTAATCCCAGAAAGTAAAACAAACAAAATAAGGTTCCAAGAAATAAAAAAGACATGAAATTCATAGAAAAACTTACGGCTTGGCTTCTTGGCCATCGAAAGGGTTTACTTGAGATTCCATTAGCATGTTGGCCAGAACCAAATACCTGCTCAGTGATGAAGCAGTTGGAAACAAAAGAATCAGAATAAAAGCAAAGAGCACTAGCCATTTCGCAGTGAAAAACCATAATGCATATTCTATTATGAGAAGCAAATTTTACAGGGTTCATGATTTGTAATTGGTTGAAGAGTTGAGGGTTTTGGATCATACTTAAGGCACTGAATTCGCCGCTGATTCCCGGCTTCATCATAGTTTCTGAAAGCCTCAAAAAAATCTGTGGCTGCTTGTGCCCATTGTCTTTCCGCCATATGCATTTTTCCACCACATTCATGAATGATTCCCATGATCCGAGGATGGGGTATTGCTGACTTTATAGAGAGAGCTTTGTTGTACAATTGCTGCTTGATCCAAACAAAGAAAAGCAGGGAATGTATGAATATTCATATTCGGAAAGGGTAACTGATGCCATTACTCATGGGGGATTAGGGTACTTCCATTAGCTGGTGTGCCTAAGATGATATGTGCATTCTTAAGATGATATGTGCATTCTTTTGCATAATGTTAAAACACAATAAATTCCAAACAGAAAAAAAGAAACTCCATAACTTATTCAAGGGAAAGTACAGTATGTGCAAACGTAGTTCATTGGATCATGAACTTCCAATGAAATGGAGGCAGTGATGATGAGATAGTGGAATCCACGAGGACAGGACATGACACCAACAGTGGGTCCCTCTCTTTCGTAGGGTGCTCATGACCACAATCGACTTGGTTACATACTCCATTAGATAATCTTCAATTACCAAAGTAACGAAAGTGTAAGAAAATAACACAAACAAATACCATTCTGGAAATGGCCAGTAGCCACTGAAGTCAAAGCAAAATACTACATTGTTGTCCAAAGAAGATGCATAAAGTCCTTGGTTCACAGCTTATACGGGTAACTTTGGAAACAAGATTCCAAATATTTCACTGCCTTCTTAGAAAGTCCGAGAAAGGAATGAGAAATCTTGGAGAGTTTCATGATTAAGTGCTGCTTTCCCAGTATTACCAAGATAATGATTTCACTATAACTACGACAACTTTTCCTTATAAAGAAGGAAGGATGAGGACCTTTCAATAAGGAAACACCATATACCCTGGCAAACACCCAGTTCTTGGGAACCCAGTAGCATGGCCCTCACTTTCATCACAATCTAAATGGCCAAGAAGCAGTTTCAACTAACAGACCTTGTTAGTTCATGTCCAAGACACCTTCATCCTTCACCTGGGTTTGCATTCAATGATCTAAATGAGCAAGAATTAGTTAACTAGCAGGCCTTGTTACTTCATGTCCATGACGCCTTCATCCCTCACCTGGGAGTGGTTTCAATGTTCTGGAGGCAAAATTTGAAGGGACTTTCTCTGGTCAAATATTTGTAAAGGCCACAAGCAGATCACCCCCTGTCCAATCTAAAGCAAGCAAAGTTTGCGAAATCCCAGTCCCCCGAAGACTCAAGCTTTAGGCAGACTTGCCACCCTGAACAAAGTTATCATCATTGATTGTCTCCATGTTCAGGAACTCATGATTCCCAAATGGTGCATCATATGCAAAAAGGAAACAATGTTCTGTTCATCCACTTTAAGGTGGTATCAATGTTCTGTTCATCCACGTTAAGGTGGTATCAATGTTCTGTTCATCCACTTTAAGGTGGTTTTTACATATAGGCCTATCTGTGTGTATGTTCATTCTACATTGGGTCTCCCAGAGTTCGTAGATGCCATGTTTTCCTCATGGTTCTCTGTACCCTCCCAAAAAACAGCTGCTTACGATGGTGATTCCTGCTTCTTGCTATATTGAAGCAAAATAGATGAATATTCCAACGCAAGTCCAAGTGATGACATGCAATAAAAGATTAGATCACATCGTCACAAATGGTGACTTTTTGGGCTCTAGCTATGAAAGGATTTGGGGGAATTTTGGCTGTTGATTTTGTAAAACCAATGGCTAGATATTGCACAAAACCGTACAATCCTTTCCCTGAAGATGGCTTCCCCCACCTGAAGGAAAGATCCAGCTGAATTTTGACAGCTACTCCTCAAAGGGCAATTTTGGGCTTACTGGGGTGTGGGGGAGTTTGAATTCTGTGACCATGGCAGATCCATTCTGCTTTCCTACTCAAGTTGTGCCATAGCATGCTCAAAAGAAAACAGCACTTTCATCATAGTTGGGGCGACCTCATAAATGAGGGCAACTTAATTAATGTAATATCCTGGGCTTCCAAGTCTGCCCCTTGCCTGTGGCTGCTATCCCGTACTTTTTGCAGATATTTTGAAATCTGCTCGGATATTGATGCACCATTTCAACAGATGCAAAAACCAAATGGACTGGCAGCTTCCTCGGTGAGAGAATGGTTTCCTCAGATCCCGAATTTTGATCATTAGAACTACTATCTCTTTATAATTAACCCATTCCCCAAAAATTCATTTTTATTCAGCCCAACTTCAACCACACACTTGTTATACTAGCTCCAAAATCATACATCTCATATATGTACATGTCTACGAGACTATGTCATGGTAATGAAATTTCGAAATCACTACCAATCAAATAAAGAAGTTGAAAATAATGCACAAAGGTGCATGCAAGATATTCCAACACTCACCTAGAGGGCTCACATTTTTAGGACGAATCCTTCAATAAAAAGGTAGCGTCTGCAGGCCCGTGTGCCATATTTGGTTGCTTCAACAAAAAACAACCCAATTTAAGTGAGGTCCACCATTCCTTTGTAAATTTCTTACAGGGCAACAGTCCCTGTATGTGTTTTTTGGAAACACAGTAGCATGTTACTCAAATAAATGTGAATTTTGTTGGAACTACAAATTGATTCTGTCCAATATGCTCCCTCTTGGCTAGCGTAACAGCAAAGCTATACGCATCTCTCCAAGTATGCACATAAATTGCCTCTATACCTGAGTCTATATCCAAAATCTCATCAAAATAATGGGACAACATCCACGAAACCACTGAATCATGTTTTGGCCATGGTATAACATTAAATGAGTCCCCATGAAATATGATTGTTTTCCAGTTTGGCTTTAAAGGCTAACTCCTGAACTAGGGCATGGTTTCACCTCATTTTAGACGGTCACATAAGCAGGACAGAGAATGTGATTACGTCTGCACCAGAATAGGATAAACATCCAAGCATCCTGAAGGACCTGGGTTTCCAGATGAACTACAATCTAACCAGAAATCTCTCTGAACACAGTCATTTGCAAAACTACATAGTTAATATTTTATTTTATTTTTTGATAAAGTTAACTTAATTACATAATTAATATTATGTGTGATACAGTTTTTTTTCCTTGAAGTCAGACATGCTCCTTTCAACAATGAATTTTCAATTTTCCGTACAACTATGGTAATTCAATTTTAAACAGAGGCTAAGTCAGTATGTTTGGGCTTTTCGGAACAAACTTCAATGGTTCAAAGTTCAAACCCTTGACTTCCCTCGACCAATAAGTCTACCATTAGGCGCTCACTCTAGCCAAGAATGACTTCGTGGGCTCGCCCCAAAGTTGTTCTCTCCCTCTACCTACTTCTGATTCTCTTATTTGCACCTGGGGCGAGGTACAATCCCACATCCTCCCTATTTGTCCCACTAAGGTTCAGCTGGTATGGATTCACTCTGTCGAAGGTAATTTCTCAATTGGGCGTGCCTGGAATCAGATCCGTGAGGCTGGCCATGGAATCTATTTGCGCCCTATGTCTCCAAGAGGAGGAAACTTCTAACCACACTATTATGCAATGTTCTTGTTCACAGGTACTCTAGAAGTGTATCGTTTGGAGATTTGGCAAACATATATTACTCCAACAGTCCACAGCTGAAGTGTTTGCCAAATGGGTCAAGTTTCGGTACAGATCACTGGGCCTAAGAAATGTGTGGATCTCTATGTACTCTACTACAATATGGTACACCTGGACTGAAAGAAATCGGAGAATCTTCAAAGGGAAGAAAACCAGAAGAGAATAGTTGATGCATTGCATCTCCTCTTTTGTTGCAAGTGTTGCAAATGTAAAAGAATGAACCTTTCACACATCAAAGAGGCACATACATAGTTGATAATCTAAAAATCCAATGGAAACCAATGAACCCCTAAACCTCCATTCTTATTTCATTGTCTCCTCCCCCAGTGGGTCACTACAAACTCAACATTGATGGCTCGTCCCTTGACAACCCTAGAGTAGCCGCCTGTGGCGGTATTATCAAGAATGACATGGTGGGGTTTCTTGCTACCTTTGCTGCTCCTTTGGGCCGTACAGCCAATGACGTTGCCGAAGTTTCAGGTCTTGAGAAAGGTATCCAGCTGGCTTTAGATAAATGCAATGCTTCCCCTGCTTATCGAAAGTGACTCACAAATCCTGGTGAACTCCATTTTAGGGCGCCATAAACCTCCTTGGAATCTTCCAACCTCTGCATCCAATTGCTCTCACTATCTTGCAAGTCGTTCCTGGAGAATCTCACACATATATCTCGAGGCCAACATTGTAGCAGATGACTTCTCTGAGGCCACAGTTTGGTGAGCATGGCCTCCAGATTTCTTATATTCTCTCATTTCTTCTGATATGACTGGGACTAAATATGAAAGGATTGTAACATAAGCTTTGTATTTCCATCTCTTTCTCTATCAATGAAAACGGAGAGGGGCCCAAATCCCCATTGATTTGCCCAAACAAAAAAGTCTACCACTAGGCAAGAGCCCAAGGGACGCTAATTCAATTTACAACCAGGGAGAATATCAATATAAAGAGGCAAGCATTGGGTTTAAGGATAATCAAGCTCAACTGATGACCAAAAGCATTGTATTAAGCACATCATGAAGGAAGCATCAAACTTAAAATATTCCACAAAGTATATCAATTGGTGCTTTATGGATACGACCCGGTTTCTATGCAGCCAAGCCCGCATATGTAGAAATGTGGGCCTCTTAATAAATCTATTTTTGAGATGGATTTTAGGAGTTAATTTTTACGGACATGTAATCTCTAACATGGAAATCATAAATATGAATAAATAAATAATTTTAAAAACTAGAAATAATAATTCTAGTAAGAAAACAGTTGGACCGTTAGTTTCCATTGTTTTTAGATGGAACACCTACTTGCATCCATCTTTAAGATGGATGCTTTACACTTTCTAGACCGCATATGTAGAAATGCGGTCCAGCCCGCATGAAACAATTTCCCTTATAGATATGTCAGGCTGACGCCACCCATTTTTTCCCTTTTTTTCGCTACACAATTTGATAAATTTTATCCTTCATTATATTCAATGCTGATGACACCTGCAACAAGCTTCCGATGATAAAGAAGCACATTCAAAAATGGAAATTTGATGAACTTTTAGAACAATCAGAGGCTACGCAGTACTAGAATCCTGTATCAGTTTTACATGCAAAGAATTTTCCAAAATGAGCACTACAAATTAGCAGAACTAATAAGAGGGAGATGTTTCAAAAATAGACATCATCTGATATTAATCCCAATCATGTAGATTAGAAATAATGCAATCTCGAAGTGCTTTACCTTGAGTTTTTTGTTATTCTTTGTTTCAGTGTACATCTGGATTTCAATAGCGTAGACCTCCAACAGTTGAGTGCCTTTCTTCTGATCATCAGACCCATCTTCTCTTCGACAAGATTTGTGAAGCTCCTTCAGAATCTTTATGGATTTTCTACTTAGTTAGGATGAGATGCTTAACAATTACATAATTAAATAAGTAAAAACTAGAAAGACACTAAAAGGTTTGGCAAACCTACAGAGTACTTATCTTGACAAAGTAGTGACTCTTTGAGTTGGGCTCGGATTCGCTTGAGTCACTTGGACCCGCATGATACCAAGCCCATATGACATCCTAACTATCAAGAGAGTCTGATGCAAGTCTCAAAAGTTTAATTTTGTTATTAAGACTCAGCTGAGTCCAACGCTGTCAGACTCAGCCGAGTCAGAGGTTGACTCAAGCTTGGGACTCCTTATGAGTCCGAGTCCAAGTCCAAGTCAGGGAATTTAACACTGTGACAAACCATGAAAATACCTTATTCATGCGCCCATATTCACCCATGTCAAACCATATCTTGCAAAGCTTAAGATTCGTCTTAAACCAAAGTCTCTGCATGGAGCACCATAAATGCTCAATCAGTACACCTTCTAGGGACAAGAAGAAACTTCATAGCATAACTAAATAGAATTCCTGACCTCATTCTTTGATTCTTCAAGCGCCTTCAGTGTGGTCTGATAAAATTCTTGCAAAAGGTCAAAGTTCTGGCTTGCTGAGCCAGAAACAAAGTCCATAATGTTGTTTATGCATTTCTCGCTATAATTTCGAGTTACAGCCGATTTAATATATGTCAACATATCCCTGTATGCATCCATCATCTCTTTATACCTCCCCAGTCGATAATAGAGCTTAACCGTTTGCTTCAGAGCCTTGAATCCCCTGAAAGTAACAAAGGCATGTCTCAAATTCACAGTTAATTAATGGAACCATAGGACTAAAACTGAATAAGTCCTATATTTCAAAACAAATAAAGAAATTTAATATTCTTCACACCATAAAGGAAGAAGTAGAGAAGCAACATCATTTAGCCAATGACTTAAAAAAGGAGGGTACATGAATCCGTATGAGTTACTTAGTGATTGATCTTACTTCAATACCACCACTAAAAACAAATTAATGGAAAATCACATAGGAATCACTTCAGTAATAACTATGAAGGAAACATTAAATGATGATGATGATAATGTCTGTGTATATACACACAGACGTGTGAACACACGGACGCACACACACATATGCATATATATATATATATATATATAGTATATATATGTGTGTGTGTGTGTGTGTGTGTGTGTGTGTGTGTGTGTGTGTGTGTGTGTGTGCGTGTATCATCCGCCCCACAAGACAAATAAATATGTATGCATGTATGAATACCACATATACAAAAACAAAGCTTGTCATAAAGCAGCGCCAGACTGTGATAATACAGGAAACATATGCATCACACACAAGCGTGCACATGCACACACACGCACGTGCATATACATATCTACATACAAGTCCACAGCCGGTGCAATGCAAAGGCACAATAAATCGAATTATAAATAATTTTAGAACTTTGTATTTCAAACTGGTATATATTATTTGTAATATTAAAAATTTTAATTAAAAATGAAAATAACGTATTAATGTACTATTCCTTAATTTCACTAGAAAACAGAAAATTAAGGCACCAAGAAAATTTTTAGAATTTATTAAAACCTGATTTAGTCAGCCTCTACTACATGAGGTTAAATCATTCTTCATGTCCCTTAATTTAGATTGGAAATTTCTATGAACAGTAAAAAGTGGTGATTGAGTAAATCTTCAAACAATAATAATTTTATCTTAAATCGTTAAAGAATCTTTTAAAGAAAATTTGTAAAAATCATTAAACTACAAAAACTACAAAAGTATCAAATTTTAAGAAAAAGAAAAATTAAACATAATATTTCATCTTTATCCTACATGAGCATGGAAACTTTGTTTATTAAGAAATTAAAAAATGTTAATTTATTAAGACTTTGAGAGGAGATTTCGGCCCGAAATCTCCATGCTCCTCTCAATTAAGATTCTCAAATAGCTCTAAATCTATTGTATTTGGACTCTCTATCCAATAGGATTAGATGTGCCGCTTTTAATTTAAAGTACTGTAATCAAACAATTAAAATGGAAGGCTATAATTGCATGATAATGACGGACAAATGACAAATTTCCAAATTTCAAATGACTATAAATTATGTTCACAACAATAGAAATCTTAATTAAATTAAGGGATTCAAGATAATTTTGAGAATTTATTAAGTAAAAAAAATTCATCATAAAAAATAAAAAAGTTTTTGACAATCTTGTATTTCCAACTTTTGCAATAATATTTTTTAAAAAAAATTTGGAACTTAAATTAGTCCTGTATATGCACAGAAACCTTCATGTTTAAAGCTCCTTAAGGACTACATGCCTTTCATATTCCTTATTTTAACTTAGCAGATTTACATAAAACAAACATTCATTTCTAAAAATTGAGTAGCCAATTATTCTGTAGAGTAAACGAAAAAAAAAATCTCTATCTTAAATATGTGTGGAAACCATACTTATTAGGACCCACAAGGAGAGATTCATAGCCAAATATGCCACTCTTGATTTGGATTCTCATGTAAGACTAAATCTATTTTTATGGATAGTCCATATCTAATAGGTGAAAATAGTAAAATATTCATTTATTTCCAATTCTTATGATCAAAACAAATGACATGGAATTTCAGGGAATGGGCTGGCGGATTGGGCCATTGGTGTTCTTAAGAGAGATAGGCCACCACTTGATTTAACAGACTATGACATGAACCCATAGATTGTTGTAGCTGAAGTTGATGGAGTATGCAAGGTGATGAGGTGGTGTATGGATAGTGATTGGAGTCAGAGGCCAACAATGAAGGAGGTGGTAAATCGGTTGAGAAGTGTCATAAATCTAACACGCGACCATTTGGGATCTTTGAGGGATCATATTAGGCTGGTGATGAATGAGGGTAGTGAAGACTTATCAAGGTATTTGATTTTTCTTTGCTTTATCAGTTTTAATTTATGAGGTTTGGTTACTTCAAATCTATGTGGCAATGTATATATTATTCTTTCCCAAAATGGAGAATGTATAAAAAATTTCATTCTTTCTTTTTAATGTTCTTGGTTAGCAAAATCAAAAAAAAAAAAAAACAAAATGAAAGGGAAGGCCATTATTGCATGATGATGACAGACAAATAGACACTACAAGTAACTTAGTATGTGTAGTATGGATATAAGGAAAAAAATTAGTGATATTTGTCAGACCATTGTCAACATAAGGTCTAGTGCCCAAGCGCATGGTTGATGGGCTCTTTTTATATGAAGTTTTTTTTTTTGGGTAAGTAAAAAGTGGCAAGTCAGTGGGGATTTGGGCCCCTACCCTTAGGTGAGAATGGAGTCAAAGACCTCATCATGGGGCTTGGCAATACTACCGCCTAGGCCCCAGGCCATTCTCAAATGATTCATATATATATATATATATATTTGGGTGAGTCAGTGGGGAGACGGCCCCTACCTCTCTTGTTTGATATATAAAGTTATGAACATCTTTACGCATCCCTAAGATCAATTAAAAAAAAAAACATTTGAGCTCAAAAAAGGCACCAAACCAAATGCCCCTCGAAGATTCATTATGGAACATCTATTTGAGAGAAGGGTAATCAGAACAGGATTAGAAGGGCTCAAAATCTTTTTCTTCTTTTTGCAAATTATTCATATGGTGAATCCAAGATGATCTAAACCATTCCAAAGCAAAAAATGACAATTGCGTTTGGGCGAGAGGACCCTTGCTATGGTGGATAGGTGAGCAAGACCACCCCACAAGTGAGACACACGGGTGTGTGTGCATGGAGTGGGCAAGAGACCACCCCAATTGAGGCAACACACATGCACACACACATGCACACACATACATGCACAGGCACGTGTGTGAGTGCACAGGCACGCGTGTGCGCACACATGCACATATGAATATCTTCAAGAGACCATGGTTATAAGATGCAGAACCTCAAACAACCATCTTGGAAGTGGATTGAGGACCAAAAACACCTCTTGATCATAGTTGCAGGGATCTTGGTCAACGGGTGGCGATCCCCACTTGGAATCTCAATCCGGCGATCCCGAAGCCGGAGCCGGAGTCCGAGCAATACTTGCTTCCTCCCATTAGGGGATCTCAAGCCATACTTACTGGGATCTCGGTTCCTAACTTAAAGGGATCTTGATCCTTGACTGAAAAGGATATTGATCCACTCCTCCAAATTGCCTGCTTAATTGATGTTTTTATTATTTAAAATTTTTTATAATGATGGATTTTTCTTTGAATAAATTATAATGATTGAATTATTTCACATATTTGGCTTTTTCTCTTTGATTTTGTTAAAAAATCTTTTCTTGGATTTTGTAATGCCCTTTGTCTCATTTCATGCATTTATTCTATCTCACTTGAAATATTCCCTAAAATCTTTTCATCGATTTTTTATGATTAATGTTTTCGTACATTATATTTTTTTTACACAAAAATGTCTTTTCTACCTTTCAAAAGTGTTCAACTAACAATTTTTTTATTTTATTCTATGATGACAAAATGTATGAAAATAATGACATCTTTCAATGATTTATTTATTCTCTTAACTTTCATTTAAAGGTTTCTTTTTATAGTAGGAAATCTTTTCTTGAATTTTGTAATGCCCTTTATGTCTTTCATTTTCTTAAATGATCAATTTAACATCATTTCATGCAGTTATTATATCTCACTTCAAATTTTCCTAAAATATTTTTCTTGATTTTTAATTATTAAGTTTTCCATACATTATGGTTTTTACACACAAAATGCCTCTTTAATTATGTATAAATTCTTCTATTTATAATAGAACATCTCTTTTCGGATTTCGTGATTTTCCTAAGTCTACTATTTGATGATGTCTAAATGTGTTGTATAGGCTCAAGTCTACCCTTTTTTTGGATTTCATGATTTTTATGGGCCTTTCTAGCAATAAAGTTCTTATTAGCATGTGTTCAGCATATTGAAAATGCTAAACAATGGATTGTTCATTCTATTATTTTTAAAATATCACTTCTAAAGAAATTGATAGGACATATTTGTAAGCATATGCACCTAGATACTAACCCTTAGATAATTGGAACCCCTACAGGAGGTCTCTATCCCCCTTGGAGACAAGTATATATATTTAGGGCAAATTTCTCCATACCCCCTATTTTTTGGGATGTTTCTCAGGGGACCCAAGATTTTATACTATTTCTAATAACATTAAGTCTTTATCTTTTCTATCTTCCAACCCCTAGACTCCTTTGACTTTATATTTTTGACCTAAACAATTTTTGAAATGGCCACCTCTTATCAGAACCTAAAGTCCCTTTAACCATTCCGTCTCTCTCTAAACTCCGGTGAAAGCAGCACTAAAACCAGTCCTACTTTGATAGCAGGCCTCTGTGCTCTAGCTTTAGTTTTGAATGGAGCTTTGATTTTACAGGCCATTATTTGAAAAGGAGAAGAATGGCTGAGATCTCAGCCTCCGGTCTTAGGGTTTTCTCCTAAAAAGAACTTGATACGGCAACTCGAGGGTTTTCAGAGAAGCTTGGCCATGGCCGTTTTGGTGTGGTTTTCAGGGGTGTTTCGCCCGATTCTTTCGAAGTTGCAGTGAAGCGCTTGGAGAAACCATGAGTTTCAGGCGCGAATGAGTTCATCAATGAAATCGTCACCATTAGAACCCTGCAACACGTTAACCTAGTTCGACTTCGAGGTTTGAGGTTTTGCTCTGAAAACTTGAATTGCCTTCTTGTCTATGATTTCATGGTGAATGGTCAATTACTCTCTTATTTCAATTAAGAATCGACCAAAACACTACCCTAGGAAACCAGATTCAAAATTGCTTTAGGTTCAACGAGAGGAATTGCTTATTCCATGAAGAGTGCAGAGACTATATAATTCACTATGATATCAAACCAGAAAACATCCTTTTGGACCACGATTTCACTGCAAAGGTCTAAGATTTCGGCATGGCGAAGCTTTTAGGTAAAGAATTTAGCTGAGTGGCCATCACAACAAGAGGAACCAGAGGCTATTTAGCACCAGAGTGGATGGGTGGTCTTCCCATTATTTCAAAGGCCAACGTTTACAGCTATGGTATGACGGTTTTGGAGATAATTTAAGGTTGCCAGAATTTGCAGGGTGATTTTCCAGTGACTTTGCCGGTGAAGGAGTGGTGTTTTCCGGTATGGGCGTTGGAGAGATTGGCTGAGGGGGAGGAGGGAGCAGTGGTGGATGGAAGGTTGGGGTTGGTGTATGGTTGGGCGGAGGCAGAGCGGTTGTGTATGGTAGCGGTGTGGTGCATACAAGAGGTGCTAGTTGTTGGGGTAGAGAGAGAAAGAGGCGCTTAGTGTTGGAAGGGAGATACCCATCCTAGAGAGAAAAAGAGGAGGGAGAGAGATTTTAAAGAGAGCTGTGTGATTAGTGGAGAGATAGAGAGAGAGAGGGAGAGACCCATGCTAGAGAGAGAAAGAGGAAGAGAGAGATTCTAGTCCTAGAGAGAGAGGCAAATGTGATTGGTAGAGAGAAAGAGGGAGGGCTGAACAGGACTTTAGGTTTTGATAAAAAAAATGGTCATTTCAAAATTTGTTTAGGTCAAAAATATAACGTCAAAGGAGTATTGTAAAATCTTGGGTCCCTTGAGAAATGGGTGCCAAAAATAAGGGGTATGGAGAAATTAACCCATATATATATATATATATATATATATATATAGTTA